TTAGTTCCTAGTGTTTCTATCAAATGAAAAAGTTCCTAAGCATTAGATAATACAGGTTGGGAATTAGACATTTAGAAAATAAAACCAGAAAGCAAGGCTGGCTTATATACAAAAAGATACATCCACAGAGTCCTGGAGACTGCTGTCAGAGTCTTTTTAAGGACTTAACCTGAGAACATCCCCTAAGGCTTTATTTGTGGGTTCTATTCTTGCACTGGCCAACTTGAAGGAGTTTTCTCCTGGGATATTATCATATCTTTCCTATACTCAAAAAAGCACAGAGTCTTCTCAAAATATTTCTCAAGGTAACTCTGGGAAACTATACACAGAGGTGCCATAATTAATTACTGGAGAAAGTGCAGAATATCTTGCTCAAAGATACCCAGAGAACCAAGACCAAAACCCTATAGCTGATGCTGGATGCTTAGGCTTAGAATGATAATTTGTTTTTAAATCTCCTATGGTGCTCCATTAAAGCGCCCCATTGTACTGCCCTCCTTGCAATATGCATAGCACATCATAGGCACTTGATGAGTAGCTATTTAATAATTAAGAATAAGAACTTGGCGATGCCAATCTCATGGGTTCTTTTGGGAGGAGATTGGGATTTGGTTGCTGTTTTGTAGCAGATATTGTTCCAAGTATGTCGGGTGCATCTCCAAAGCTTCAGCCTGCTATCGTGATCCACAGATATCAGCCTGCCAGCTCAGCTCCCTGGAATGATATGACCCAATGGGTAATTCCTCCCAGACCTGAGTCCTGGGAAGATAGACTGGACATTGTGGCTTCCCTATCAAAATTGACTCCAGGATCAAATGCAAGAAGAAATATGGACAACCTCATCCGTTCCACTCTTTCTGAGACTGTTCACTGGTTCATATTTTATTTACAATCTGTATATTCCATGAGCAATTAGAGTGCCTCTGTCCAAACCCATCTCTGTGACTTGGGGGAAATGGAGGTCTGTGAACTGCAGGTGCCTCTTCTAGCAAAGAGGTAAATTATGCATAAAGGGAGAGACACAGGATCTGCCTGTGTACTCACCACAAGAAAAATGGAATGTTGGGAAAGGAAAGAGTATGGGCAGCTGAGAAAAAGTTATTAATTACATCAACCTCAAGAACAGTAGCTACAGTTCACTGAACACCTGTCATATGATGGACCTTTCTGAGTTGTAACCTTGCACGGATCTCCCTATCGACCCTATGGGAGCAGGAGCATCCTTCACTCTCAAGAAAACTGTGTCTATAGAGGTTAAGTAAGCTACTCAGGGTGGCATGAGATAGATTAATGAGGTCTTAGCTGCCCCAAAGCCTGTGTCTTTCCACGACTTCAAAAGTCCCATAGACTGTGTAGACACTACATTCTAACTCAGCCCCCAGTCTCATTCAGGGGATGCTGGCAATAAATAGGGAGTTCACTGGCTCAGTCGAGGGCTTTCTACTTGTTCCTATGCTCCCTCCGTGATCCACTCCAGGAGAAATGATCACGTAGCAATGTCGCAAGAGGTTTCCATTTAGGTATGTGAGAGAACAGAGAATAGGGCCTCTTCATAACCTATATTCTTTAGCTGCTTGGAGGGGCTTCAGATAACATCAAGATGTGGAGGGGAAAATCAAGTCAATAAAAGGAAATGGATGATTGTAAGGGCATCCTTATTGACTCTTCTCACGTGACCATCCTGATGTTGGATACCTACGAGGCTCACCCAAGGTTCCACAAAGGTAGCCATGGGAGTCCTACAGGACTTTTATTTCAATCTCCCAGGATGGAAAAAAACAGGGAAGCCCACACAGGGACCTAGGATAAATGATGCATATTTTGGTTGATATTTTAGTAACAACATAGATTCATATTGGAGACTTCATGAAGAACAGAGGCTTAGGTTGGCAGTTAGATATGTCTTCAATTAGTGACAACTGGAAAATATGAATAAATTCTTCCTTAATAAACGCAGTTTGCCGGGTGATGTCATACACAAGATGGGGGTCACTGGGTGGGAGGGAGAATCACAGAATGAGATTTTAACATGGAAATTTAGGAAATGATTGGACTTAGGTGTTTCTCATATTTCTTCTCCTCTGAGAAGCCTTCTCTAAACACCCAAGCTGGGCTAAGGACCATTCCTTGGTGCTTGTACAACCCCCACCTTGTCACTTATCATGTTTATTGAGATTGTTAGCTTATATGCTGCCCCCAGCACAGACTGGAAGAAACCGCTTGGAAGGCATCTCTGTATCTTTAGGGCACAACAGTGCACGAAGCGTGATAGGTGTGAGGTGCGGGTCACAGGTGTTGAGCTGACCTGGGCTAGAGTAAAGATGTCAGTCAAACATCTTTGTGCATATTTCTCCAGAAATATTTCTTTAAAGAACTTTGGAGACAAAAGGCTACAGGAAATCGCCACGGTTTCTGCACCACCTGAATCTTGATCCTGTCACTTCCTGGAAACAGGAGTGTGTTTTCAACCTCTTTGCTACTTGCTTCCACTCAACCCAAGGTCAGGGTCCTCTCTCCTCCAGCCAATCACCTGATCACCTGCTCTCTTCCCTTCCAAAAGGAGCTGGCCCCCTGCCATCTCCTGCAGTCCAAGCCAAACAATCCAGAGGGAAAAAGGAAACCTTTGTTTAAGATGTTAGGTTCAAATTTTTTCATTCACTGCCAATTCACTCTAGGCAGTTTGTAATCCAGTGAAACTACCAGGCAATCAGCTGAACGTCCTTCTTTTTGTGCCCGTACTTTGCTCTTATAGATTCTTGCAGAAATGGACACCTGCACCACCACCCCCATCCTTCTCGCACTCGTGTTACCTGCTACCTGCTACCCTCTGTTGAGAATTCTATCTTACTTCTAAGTAGGGTTTTAGAATTCCAGCCACAACATTGTCAGCAAAGACGTATGATCTACTATTATGACCCAAATGCTCATAAATATCTCTGGAATATTAAAATTAATTCCCAGCCAAAGTTGTTTCACCATTTGGAAATGTCTATGTCTCTCCCTGGCGAACATGGCATTGGTTTGTTATGTGTGGTTATTCCCAGCAAAGAGCATGTTTGTTGTAAGTTAGCAAATTTCAATTTTACAGCAGGTGTGCTAGTCTGAGATTTTTACAAATTGTTCATGTGAGGATAAGCCATATAATTTTACTTTATTATTCCTGTTCAATATAGTAGTAAGATATTGATGGTATATATACCAAAAAGCTACAATTACCGTGTACTGAAATAATAATTTTCAGCAAAGTGATGTGTTATAAAAGTACGATTTTGCATTTATAGCTTATAAATCCTGCTTTAGTAATTACACGAGTTCAGAGGGTAACTTGGGGTTTTTTTCCTTCATAACTCATTGTGTGGTCTGGGGAATAACAAATCTTTATTTCTGCATTTCTGGATCTATAAAATGGGCTCAATTATATAGGGACAGAGATAAAGATTTTACTGTCAACAATTCTTTATAGCACATGATCCTATATAAGGGTTAGGATGTGCAGATACTCTGAGCGGGGAGCTAGGGAGAATTTACAGCCAATTACTCCTTCGAAAAAAAAAATATGTTTTGCTGTTGTTTTTTCCACCAAGAAGCTCAGAGTTGACCCAGCTTTAACGACTGCACAACACACTCAATGGACATTATCTTACTATCTTCGCACTTATTTTCCCTTCCTGATGATTTCACCTAGTTTCATTTCTTGGTACTCTTTGTTTTATTGTACTTATTTTTGAAATGCTTCGAATGTTCTAGCTTAGAATAGGTGAGATATGAATAAATAATGAAAAAAAACAAGTGTTTGCCTTTGTCATCAGTGTAACAGAGAAGTGATCTGGGCTAATTCAGGTTTCCTAAAAGATTTACATGCAAAAGAGCTCTAAAAAAATGCACTGAATCCTTTTCAGACAGTCCTAAATGCAGCCATACTTTTTATACAGACGAGAACGCCAGTCACTGGCTAGGGAAGCCTCATGCCAGACTCTCTGGGATATAGCTGAATTTACCACCAAACAGCGTTTCTCAACTGCAACAAGTTTGACTTTGAACGTGATAACTCTTCCTTGTGGGGGGCTGTCCAAGGCATGGAGGGTGTTAGCAGCATCCGTCCACCCCACTCAACAGATGTCATAGCACCTCTCCATTCCCGCTGTGACAACCAACAACATCTCTAGACCTTGCAAATGTCCCCTGGCCTAGGGCTACCACCCTCGAGGTATCCCTCTCTCCTGACTTGAGGGCTGCAGGGATATTTTAGCTCGATCTCTCACAGGACAGAGGGACCAGCTTTTCAGGATTGCCACCAATCAGTACCACATTTTCTTTTTTTGAGCATTCACCACCATTCCTTGCTATTCACTTGGCAATACCAACGTCTATACACAGAAGGACCAAACCAGCAACGGGAAACAAACCAATTTGCATTTTCCCCACAGAGAAGGCAGGCAGGCAAGTGCCACTTTGGAAAAATCCAACTAAAACGCACCTTAACTCCAATTTCATTAATTCTTGAATGTTTGCATTTGACTCCGCACCTAATTTTCTCTTCTCAGGCAAAACGTTCATAAACCTTGAAGCGCAAGATATCTGGGGAGAGGAGCAAGACCACCCCAGTGATTTTTATGTAGGCAAAACCTCGCGTCCCTCCGTGGAGGAATTCAAGGGGCGAATGCGGTCCAACCTCCTTAATAACCAGATGTTTGCAATCATCAGAAATACATCTTTGGCTGTAACCATTTCTCTGTTCTCCAGCATTCAGTCTCAAAGAGAATTTACATAACAACATGTGACATGTAGAATGCTTAAAGGCACCAACCATGACAGGACAAATTACACTCATTTTTCAATACTCTTTGCAAGGTGCTCCACGGCAGGCGCGCGCCGGGCTGCATGCTGGGGCGGTTCTGGTGGGGAAGTCAAGACCATCATGCGCTCGCAAACAGCTCCGTGCCTCTGGGGAGGGAGGGCTGGTGCAGGGAGGCCCGCCCCGGGAGGCTGCCCCAACTTACCCGCCGTAGGCCGGGATCGGGGGCGGGGGCGCCGCGGCCCTGAAGGTGTTGTACACGGTGCGGCCGCGGCCTCGCAGGTGCGCCCCTCGGTAGGCGGCCGCAGCGGTGGCGGCTGGATACGGGAAGCCGGGCACTGCGGGCGAGAGGAGAGAGCAGAGGCCATGAGACGCACACCCTGCCGCGGAGGAAACCTCCCCAGGACCCTTGTCCTGCCAGGCCAAGCGGGACCCCGCCCCCTGCCTGGAGCCAGCGCAGAGGCCAAGGTGGGACTCCAGAGAGAATGGGCTAGTTAAGACAGTCGTGTCTCCGCCCAGGACACTATGACACATGACAAACACTTACAAAGAATTCCTAATAACAGGAAAAAAGCTCACTGCAGAAACTTAAATTTTTAAAAAAGGTAGATTGCAAGAGGTATGTCCAATGCCTTCCCAACCACTATATATACGTATGTATATGTGTTTATGTATATATGTGAGCACACAATATACACATGTGTATATGCATGTGTATGTATATGTGTATATGAATATGTGTGTGCAGATATATACAAATATATATATTGCGTGCTTATGCACATATGCACATATTTGTATATACATATACACACCTATTTCCACATAGTAATTATCTCTGGGGCCAAACTGCAGGAGTGTTAAGTTTTTATTCATAGCTTTTCCCCTATCCCATTTTATTTTCCACATTTCCCTTTATATACTTATATTGTTTGTGAAAACTTTTAAGTATTCCTACAGGCACATGTCTGTGTCGTAAGTGTACAAACCACACACGCCCTAAGAGAGATTACCACCGCGTCACAAGGTCCCGAACCTCCTATGCAGCTTTTAAAAGCAAACACAACCACCAAAATTACTAATAGAGAAGTCTGGGAACTCTTAAAGAGAGAGTGTGGGTAGGGATTTCCTCCCTTGGGGATAATTCTCTGAGCAGGGCAATGTGGTAAGGAATCTGGGGGGCGGGGAGGGTTAAGTCTGATAATTAACTCTGTTGTCTCTACCTGGGATGTCCTTGCTCCCACTGCATGTCAATCCTAACTCATCGGAGCCCCAGGGGCCAGGAAACAAACCACTTTTGCCTCCAAGCTCCTTTTGTTTCTCTGAACCTCATAATGCCTTCACCACACTGACTGTGGTTGTCCACCCCACTCTGCAGCAGGCAGTGGTTCCAAACCCCATCCCGTGGAGGGGGTGCTTTGCTGATAAAATGTGTTTGGGAAGCTGCTGTCCCAGGAGAGCCGCAGCAAAGGTTCCGAAAGCCATGCAGTGGAGGAAACTCTTTAACTTAGGTGACCCAGTACACCCAGGCTTTCCTCTTCCAGGCTCCTGCAGAACCCCTAACCTCTTGCAGGGTGCTGCAGTTCCTATCTTGTTAAATTGACTCCACCCCATATCCAACTGGGAAGACAGGGGTGGCCCCTTCTTGCTGTCACCTTCGGGGGTAGAAGCTCTCCACCTCCCATCTTCTCATTGCTCCAGAGTCATTTCTATGCACCCTAACGCATGGACCCAGATCAGGGTTGTGGAAGGAGCAAAAAAGGCAGAAAAGAATGTTGGAAGGAAAAATAGAACTGCATAAGAGGCCCCGGTGGAGTCCTACTTAGGAGATCAGGGGGTGGCCCCAAATTGACCCTGGAGAGCTAAGATTTACACCCACACCCATGGACAGAGTGTGTCCGTACCTACAGCGTGGGCGGCGTTTCCCACAAAAGCCATTCTGAATTCCTCATGGAGTTATATGGGCTGGAATAACACCCTTGAACCCATAGTAAGGACCAACTGGCTGTTATTAGCTGGGATTCTGTGTGTGTTCTTGAACATCCCACAGACATCCTGTAACTATGGGTTCCACTGCATCTTCCTCTCACAACGTGGGTAAAATTCAAGGATTGCAGAACCCAGCCAGAATGGTTCTATCTTTGTTTGTATCTGAGAAGACCATAAAGGTTATTTTTAACTTTATTTTTATTGTTGTTAAAGACAAATCATGCAGTTTTACTTAAGTCTTTTGCCAGCCCCTAGCACCTGAGTTTCCTGGATCTGGTTTCAACCAGCACATTTGAATTTGCAGAAGGGTCTGGGTCTTTAATGGGGAAAGCAGGTAAGTCCTAATATCATAAAAGCCCACAAGTAATGAGATATGAGACACTTGCTCCAGGGCTGGGGAGGAAATGAGCGGGAATGGCTTTGACTCCAGATCTATCTTGCCACAGTTCAAATATTAAGTTTTCATAGGAACACCCTGGATTTTGAAATAAAGAAAATGAAAAATTCACAATCTGGCAGAGCAGCTGGCTGCCTGTGCGAGGAAACACGGTAATTATGCTGACCCATTCATTATCACCGGCTACGGGTGCCGAGTGAGCGAGACAAGCTCCCTCTCAGCGACAAGCAGGTTTTACAATAATTCTTGGAGGATTTAGATGTTGAGATATAACATGAAACAGAAGCTCAGCAATACAGCGAGGGGAGCGCGTGCTGTTAAAAGTGTAGGGCCAGGATTCCATTTTGTACCCTCTTTGTTACAGGGAGAAAATGTCTTTTCCAGGCAGGATAAGGTGTTTACAAGACTTAACAGGGAGGCTCTTCAGGCTCCCCCAAGCAGGGCACATTAGGGGACTTCTTATTTTGTGAAAGGAACAATAGGAAGGACTACAAATCAACTCCTGCCTTAAATAGCACCTCCCTGGGAGGCCAAGTGCCCTTAGGCAAAACAAGGAGATTTCTACAGATCATGTTTGGGGCCAGAGACTTCATGGAGAAAGTGGGTGGAGAACTCAAGTCAGGAAGGTGGATGGTTTTTCCAGCTATTCTTTTCTTGTTGTTAATGTAGCACTGGCCAAGGGTCCCTTTGCGAAGTTTCTAGTTAGTTTCTGTTCTCCTTCCTCCCTCCCTGCCTTCCTCCTTCCCTTTCCTTCCTTCCTTCCTTCTCTCCCTCCCTTTATTCTTTTATGCATTCCTTTCTTTGTTTTCATCCTTCTTTTTCATCTTTTTTTTGGATTTTTTTTTCTGAAGACAACCACCCTTATCCTCCCCTGGTGTATGTAAAAACTGGGTAGCTTGGATCACAGAAATGGAGGACTCTTGCTAGTGCTCGAATGCAAGCTCAGTGAGGGTGGTGGTCTCCATCCATTCTGCTCACCCATTAGCATGACCGACTGGTACCCAGGAGGCATCAGGTACCTGACCCTGTGCCTGAACACCCTGTTGGTCATTAACCAATGTTTGTCTCCTTCCTTCTGGGAGAACAGACCCTCTTCTTCACTGTCCACATTCCGTTACACTGTCCTGTGTACAAAGTGGCCTGCCCAGAATTTGCAGACAGCCAGTGCTCAAGCAACACAACTGAATCTCAGTCACAATCCCTAGAGAGACAATTTCTACTTTCATCCTTTTAGGTGCAGCATTGCCCCAGCGAAACCAACCACACTCAGAATGGGTATGATTCCAATGGAAGAGGAGACAGCTTGGACAAATGTGTTGCACTTGGAATTACCAGAGCCCTCAATTCACTTAAATTCATTTTTATTGAAGCACACTGCCAGTGTTTGAAAATATTTCTTATTCTGGGGAAAAAGCAGGAATCAAACTTTTCCCCCAGACAGGTAATATCTACTAAAAGGTACTTGGTCATATCTCCCCATCCATAAAGCCCTAGACAATGCTCTCTTACAACCTAGCAACAACAGTCCCTGAATATGATATATATGTGTGACAAGGAACAACAGAAAATAACAATCTTCATAATTCCAAACTCATCTGACTTGTAGCTGTGCCTTCGGTGTTCCTTCCCATTTCTATTAGAAAATATTTTTCCCCTGATGGCTGGTTTAGGCCAGCATGGATTTCTTCTCATGCCACTAAGACAAATGGTCAATTTCAAGGACAAAAAAAAAAAAAATCCCCACAACTGTTTGTCAAACTTCCTTTAAACTCAAGATGGGATGGAAAAAATGGATATTTTTCTTACTTGCCTACTAGCTGCAGTGGTTTGTAGATGTTGGAACAGAGTTAAATGCATATTTGAAACAATTAGCTGGACAGATGATTCAGATATAAATTAAACAAGACTGCAGTGGGTTCACCCTGCCACCATGTATTAATAGAAAGAAAAGATCTATGGCATGAGACTTAACTTTTGTTGAGTATAAGTCATCATGTCATCTAT